GTATGTAAACAAAGGCACTGCGCATGCGCGTTTTACCCATATTCTATCGCGATATGTCATTTTCCTATCGTTGCCCAAAATTACACCGGTATTACCGTGAACAGTATGATATAGCCCAGCCCTAGGCTATACTATATTACCTGCCTATTACCTGCTATATTTTAAAACTGTTTCAAGTAAATATTGCACTCGCTTTGTAATATGAGCTGGCAGGCTAAAGACTTTTAACGTCCAATGTGACTGAAACAGCCACATCAAGTAAAGCCTGAATTTGGGATGGTATAAATAGATGAAAACAGCCATGACGTAAAGCTGCTTAGGTTTTAATTTTCCTGTATCCAGATCATGACAACCAAATGTTTATTCAACATGTTTAAGTTTTTAAGAGATTATCATTAATATTCTCCAGGGCTCGCAAAATTTCAAAATCCCTGGTAGCCCTTCGGGCAGGGACTCTTCAGTTTTTGGTAGCCCAAAATAAATTTAAGTAGCCCGAATAAAAAAGAGAGCAATTTTTTGATTGATGTTTTGTTTCCTGTTTTGATTCCTTTACAATATTATACATTAAAGCAGACCTTCCCAAAGTGTGGGGCCCGCCCCCTAGGGGGGGCGCAGAGCCATTGCAGGGGGGCGCGGAATGAAAAGGGGGGGAAAAAAACAAAACGCTTGCACACTGCTAGCACGGGGCGCCCACAGAAACGCAAAGCAGGAGATGAAGCATCGCTGAATATGTTTCCAAACCAACTTCATTCTAAGCCAAAGACTAGAAAATATGGTGAAGCATAACTTCCCTTTGGTTTTACCTGCACAAGTGCCAAGGTAGGTCTCCCTGCAGAATTGGTTTTCCAGCAGCGCTGGGCTCTTCAAATCACAGACCACAGTATCCCACAGTGGTTTATGTTTTTAAACCCATTTTGCACAGAGAGGCATTTTTTGAAAAATGTATTGATAGCAATGTTGAATATTATTACACATGAAAAAAAACCAACTACACGTAAAATAAACACACTGTGACGCCTCTGCCTTTGTAAATGGAGGGACAGTAACTGCGTGTGTATGTAAGCGTGTAAAACCTGCAGATAGTCAGATTAACAGTATTTTGTCTCTATCTGCCATTCTGCAATTCATCTCATGTAAACAATAACGTGGCGCACAGCGTGACATGGAAGGCACATACCTTTGACGTTGCGTAACGAAGTCTGTATTCCTCGTCCACACGTAAACGCAAAAAAGGAGTTTTTAAAAAATCTCAGTTTTCGGTGATTCGAAACGCCATTTACGTGTGGACGAAACAGCTGCGTTGTCAAAAATACCCGTGTAGGTGTGGACGTAGCGTAAAAGAGTTAGTAGTTTCTTTTATTACTACCTGTAATTTATTGCAGATTACTTGTATTTTCTTAATTGTTTACTAAATGTTTGAGGTGTGAAATAAACCGCAATGGAGCAAAATATGGGTGTGTGTGGTTGGAGGACGTGTTCGTGCGTGTTCGTGCGTGTGCGCAAAGTAATTGCTTAAAGGAGCTTCTTCGACATCTTTAAGAGTTCTAAACAAATGTCTGTCCTCCTCCGTAAAATCTTATGTACGCAAACACGCGTTGCAACTTCTTATCTTGTGCG